TTGAATCTTGATTCAGTAGCGTTGATCCTGGCAAGGTCGCCACTTGTGAAGGCTTACTCAGCCCTGTAACAACTTCAGTCAGTATTACTAAGGCTGGCTCCTCCTCAGGAAAATTAATGTATAGAAAAAGAATAAAAACTGACAAACATAAACACTTTATTATTTAGAAAATATAAAATATAAAACACTTAAATATGAAATATTGATCCTACATTAAAGAAAATGAAAAATGAAAAATGAAAAATATAAATGATATCTGAATTCAATGCTAATACCTATAAAACTTGGGTGTCTGGTGTTGGTGACACTGCGTGTTGTTGAAATCGTAGCCGCTGCTGATGAGGGGGGGGGGGGGGGGTCGCAGGTGTTGGTTACAACCCACTGGCTAGTTATTCACAGTATAGCCATGATTAATCCGTCCAGATGACAGGAAAGCAGGTTTTTTTCCACTGCAATGATGAGGGGTTATATCCTGCTACTGGCATACACAAACAGGTAAGTGGATCAGAATTTGGGACATCTCAGAACGTTAGTCCATCTCCTTAAAATTCTACTCGTTGATTGGCAGGTGACCCTCTCTGTCATCCAAGCTGGAAAGATAGACAGGTTACCCACTGCTTAAGAAATCACTCTCCATGATAAGTACAATACCAAAAAGATGTGGTGATTATTACAACAGTCAACTTAGAGCAAGACTGAAAGGACTAAGTTTATTATTGGTCAAAAGTGAAGCTTTCAACCAATAAATCCACTAGAATACAAGGCAGGCATGTACTTACAGTAGTGCTGGGAGCTGTGAGTCTAGTGATTACTGTTTGGACCGGAGCCCCACATGTCACCTTTCGGGGGGGGGGGGGGGGGGAAGAAGGAGGGGAAGGGATAGCGGGAGCTAGACTGACCCTACCTTAACAAGCAGCCGGCAATCAAACTATCACTTTCGGGGTGGGGGAAAAAAGGCAGGAATAGCGGGAGCTGGACTTACCCTACCTTAACAAGTAGCCGGCAATGAAACTATTGTTACTATATACTCCATCGCTACTCCTATCTATTGAACTTTTCCCTCACAATTATTATTATTATTATTATTATTATTATTATTTGGACATGATACATAGTTGTACAAAAGAAATACAGTGGTTGAGTGTACATGCCAAAAGCTCTTCATATCCAGAGCATTGTGGGCTGGCTTAAAATTACTTAAGATTAATTAATCAATGATATATTCAGTGGTAAAAATTACAGTAAACAAATTACAACATGAAGGACAAATGAATACTTCAAATAAGAGGCTTTATAGTTGTACAGATTTGTAGCACCTTTGATGACTTACTGAGCATTCAAGAGAATGGCGTATTCTATTAGGTAATGCAGCTACAAAAAACATATTTTGATAGGGTCACAATTTATACATTTATGAGATACAGTTAATCAGTATTTATTTAGTTGTGGGTGCGTAAGTGGTTTTTAAGAAGAGTCTTGAATTGATACAGTGTTTCTTTTATATTCACAGGTAATGAATTCCAGATTATTGGGCCTTTTATGTGAATTGCGTTTTTACATAGTGCGAGATGGACACGAGGAACATCAAAGAGTGATCTGTGCCTTGTGTTATGGTCATGTGTTCTATTGAGGATGGTAAGGAGAAGTTTGAGGGGAGGGTTTATATCTGAGTTAAGTGTTCTATGTATGTAGTAGGTACAATAATAAGTATGGATGTTTTATGTGGTGAGTAACTTTAGAGTTTTGAATATTGGTGGAGTGTGTTGCCTGTAGTGGGAATCTGTTATCATTCTGACTGCAGCCTTTTGTTGGGTAATTAATGGTCTGAGATGGTTTATTGTTGTTGAGCCCCATGCACATAGGTGAGATAGGGGTAAATGAGTGAGTGATATAGGGCCAGGAGGGCTGACTGTGGAACATAGTACCGTATCTTCGATAGTATGCCTACAGTCTTGGAGATTTTCTTGGAAATGTGTTGTATATGTGTTTGAAATTTGAGTCTATTATCAAGGTGGATTCCTAAGAATTTTCCCTCTGTGAGCTTTGTGATAGGTGATCCATTTATCATTATGTTAAGAGGGACATCTGTGGTTCTGTTTCCAAAATATATGAAGTTTTGTCAATATTGAGAGTAAGTTTGTTAATCATCATCCAGGTAGATATTTTCTGTAATTTGGTATTTACAGTATTGGCTAGCATGACTGGGCTTGGGTGAGAGAAGACGAATGTAGTGTCATCTGCAAATAGTGTGGGTTTGAATAGTTGTGTTGCATTTGGTAGGTCGTTTATGTAAATGAGAAAGAGAAGAGGGCCAAGGACACTTTCCTGTGGGACACCAACTGTAATTGGCTGTGTGGAAGAGTTTGCTCCATTTGTGTACACAATTGTCTTCTGTTGCTAAGGTACAACTTCAGGTAGTTGAGGGAGTGCCCTCTTATACCATAGAGAGACAATTTTATGTGCAGCAAATCATGGTCAACTGTATCAAAAGCTTTACGTAAATCAATGAAGATCCCCAATGGGACTTATTTTTTCTCGAGTGCAGTGTATATTTGTTCTAGCATGTGTATAATAGCATCATTCATATTTTTATTAGGCCTGAACCAAAACTGGTAGGGGTTGAGTATGTTGTGGGAGATGAGGTAGGAATAGATTCACTTATGAATTAAATTTTCAAAGATTTTAGAGAGAGGGTAATGCTTCATGCACCTTCCCCGCACTCATATCCTGCTCTTGTTCACTCCTAAAAGATGGTATACCTCCCTGGCCAGTGCATGAAATTACCGCCTCCCTTTCTTAGTCGACATTTAAAAGTTCCTCAAAATATTCTTGCCATCTACCCAATACCTCCATCTCCCCATCTACTAACTCCCCTACTCTGTTTTTAACTGACAAATCCATTTGTTCCCTAGGATTTCTAAAGTTGTTTATTTCACTCCAAATTTTTTCTTATTTTTATTAAAATTTCTTGACAGTGCCTCTCCCACTCTATCATCTGCTCTCCTTTTGCACTCTCTCAACCTTTCTTTTGCTCTCCATATGCTCTACTCTTCTTATAACACTTCTGCTTTGTAAAAATCTCTCATAAGTTACCTTTTTCTCTTTTATCACACCCTTTACTTCATCATTATACCAATCACTCCTCTTTCCTCCTGCACCCACCCTCCTATAACCACAAACTTCTGCCCCACATTCTAACACTGCATTTTTTAAAACTATTCCAACCCTCTTCAAGCCCCCCACTACTCATACTTGTACCAGCCCACCTTTCTGCCAATAGTTGCTTATATCTCACCGAACTTCTCCTCCCTTAGTTTATACACTTTCACCACCCTCTTACTTGTTGTTGCCATTTTCCTCTTGTCCCATCTACCTCTTACTCTAACTGTAGCTACAACTAAATAATGATCCAATGTATCAGTTGCCCCTCTATCAACATGTACATCCTAGAGCCTACCCATCAACCTTTTATCCACCAATACATAATCTAACATACTTTCATTATGTGCTATATCATACCTTGTATATTTATTTATCCTCTTCTTCATAAAATATGTATTACTTATTACCAAACCTCTTTCTACACATAGCTCAATTAAAGGCTCTCCATTTTCATTTACCCCTGGCACCCTAAATTTACCTATTACTCCCTCCACAGCATTTTTACCCACTTCAGCATTGAAATCCCCAACCACAAGTACTCTCACACTTGGTTCAAAACTCCCCACGTATTCACTCAACATTTCCCAAAATCTTTCTCTCTCCTCTACACTTCTCTCTTCTCCAGGTGCATATACACTCACTATAACCCACTTTTCACATCCAACCTTTATTTTATTCCACATAATCCTTGAATTAGTATATTTATAGTCCCTCTTTTCCTGCCATAGCTTATCCTTCAACATTATTGCTACTCCTTCTTTAGCTCTAACTCTATTTGCAACCCCTGACCTAATCCCATTTATTCCTCTCCACTGAAACTCTTCCATCCCCTTCAGCTTTGTTTCACTTAAAGCCAGGACATCCAGCTTCTTCTCATTCATAACATCCACAATCATCTCTTTCTTATCATTCACACAATATCCACACACATTCAGACATCCCACTTTGACAATTTTCTTCTTATTCATTTTAGTAATTATTACAGGAAAAGGGGTTACTAGCCTCATTGGTTCCCAGAATTTTAGTTGACTTACAACAACGCATGGCTTATCGGAAAAGATTCTTATTCCACTTCCCCATCGGATATAAAAGGAAAAATAATAAGAACAAGAGACTATTAAGATAAAATCAAAGAAACCTCAGATGAGCATGTATAAATAAACGATGTACATGTTATGTATATGTGTGACCTAAGTGTAAGTAGAAGTACAAAGACGTAGTACCTATAATCTTGCATATTTAGAGCAGACAAAAGACACCAGCAATCCTACCATATGTAAAAGCGGGGGGGGGGGTCCATTACAGGCGTTCGTTTTACACTCACTTAGGCATGACGTAGTACACTCCCTGGGTGGTTGCTTTCTACCAACCTGCTAAGCTTATTCCTTCCCTATAATTTTACAATCTCTTTTGTCCCCTTCCCTTTATATAGAAGTAACTATACAGGCTCTCATCCCAATCCTAGTATTCCCCTCTCCATACATTTATTAAAGCAAAAATACACCCTGGCAACACTATATTGCCTCCTGCTTTTAACATTTCGTCATGATTCCTCAGTTCCTGTGCTTTACCCCTTTCATCTACTTAATGCCGTCAAGCGACCTTCCCCACACCACATCCTTGCTCTTGTTCACATCCTAAAAGATTGTTATAGCCTCCCTGGCCAGTTGCATGAAATGACCGCCTCCCTTTCTTCATAGACATTTAAAAGTTCCTCAAAATATTCCTGCCATCTACCCAATGCCTTCACCTCCCCATCTACTAACTCCCTTACTCTGTTTTTAACTGACAAATCCATTCGTTCCCTAGGATTTCTTAATTTTTTTATTTCCTCATCTCTATATAATGTAGAAAAATATGCAAAAGGATATAATTCTTACCTGTGATAGAGCCACAAAGATGAAGGACATAACAACGAAGAGTAGGCCCATGGCTCGTCCATATATCAGGTAGACATGCCTAGAGATCTGCATAATAATAATATTAGTGATAAATATATATAGTGGGTGAGGTGCTGTCAACAAATTTTGCTGAGAATAAGAAAATTTGGAGATAAATTGGTTAAGAAAGCCTAGGGAACAAATGGAAAACTCTATCTGAAATTCTTGGAACTAAAAAGTTATCCAAAAACAAAGCAATCAAACTAACAAAATCAGATGAACCCCTACTCACTCCAACCGAAACAGCAGACTTAATGTTTTCTTCTCCACCATAGAAAAAAATCTAACAAACAACTTGCCTGCTTTTATGTACAAAAAAGCTTCTCAAGTATTGTCACCTGTTACGTTGGTTTCCCTTATTTCTTGGATGGTAAGGTTCTCACTACATGTTCTAGTGTGGGGTAGCTTTTACTTAATGGCCTTATTTGTCTAGGGGTAATACTTACATCATGGCTGATCATCTTGAGTGTCTCTGATACCCTTTCACCAGCCCTCTTCACAGGTTATGTAAACTACTACTATAAAAATATAACTGTATTCTCAATAGATATGTACAGAATATACAATCACAGCCTCCATTTTTCAAACAAAGATCTACACACTCCCATGCCTGTGCTCCACATGGTGTGTTGCAAACAACTCTTTTCCTTGCACTCTTTCCTGACATAACTCTTGGCTAACAACCATTGTTTGACCCACTTTAGTCACCCTGGGATATGGTGGCCACAACTTAAATTATAAAAACTCCACCTCCTGGAGCACACATAAGTGTCCCAAAAGATAGAAGAAGGACCCAGAGATCCTGCCAGTTGAAGTCAGCCACAGAGAGAGAGAGTTCAGTGAGAGGGAGAGAGAGAGAAGTCCTACCTAAGCTCCTCCGCACCAGTAAACAAAAAGACTGTTGCCCAAGCATCAATTCTCTCTCCAGTTACCACAATTCTACCACCTCTTAATTTACTTTTACAAAAAGAAATACAACTTATAAACTACTTATTTAAATTGTGTGTTTGTGTGTCTATAGTATAACCTATTATATTGAGAAAAATAGGTTTGACCCAGCTGCCTCTCAGTCATAAGGTTGATCAGTCCTTCAGACATTTAGAGCAAAGTCCCCATCAATTCAATATAATTAGGTATTATTATATAAACTGTTACTTATAAATACATGTTGGGTCCTATAGCCCCATAACATCACCAATTATTGCAATGCTCTTTAACAAATCCACTGAATCATCTACCTTCCCAACAATCCTCAAAATAGCGAGGGTCACTCCAATCCACAAAGGAGGTGACCAAGCTGACTTGACTAACTATAGACCACTATCTAACTTACCACTGCTCTCTAAAATCTTTGAAAAATTAATTCATAGACGGATCTATTCCTACCTCATTTCACACCAACAATATTAAACCCTTGCAGTCTTTGGGGATTCAGAAATAATAAAAGCACAATGACACCATCATACACTGCTAGAAAACCTAATATATACTGCACTTGAAAAAGAAGAAGTCCCGATGGGCATTTCATTGATTTACGTAAAAGCTTTCAATACAGCCGACCATGAACTACTGTACTCCAAATTAAGTGCACATTATGGTATCAGAGGGCCACTCCCTCAACTACCTAAATTCAAAACCTAAGTAACAGAGCTCAATATAATTGTATGCAAATGATGTAAACTCCCCACCCAACCAATCACAGTAGGAGTCCACAAGTAAGCGTTCTTGACCACTTCTCTTCTGATCTACATCAATGATCTACCGAATGCATCACAGCTACTCTCAAACCCATATATTTGCAGACAACACTACATATGTATTTTCCCACCCAAACGCAGTCATACTACAAACACAGTCAGTGCTGAATTACAGTGAAAATATCTGCTGCTGGATGATGACTAATCAAACTTACCTGAACCGACTACTGATAAAACTATTTCATTCCAGTTTGGAAACAAGCTGCAAATGATGCCATTAACGTATACACTAAATGGATCATCATAGTCCGCAAACTGACAGAGGGAAAAATTCCTAGGTATCTACCTTGACTAGAGCCTTAGTCCGGACACACATACAACAAATCACCAAGAAAATCTCCCAAGACTGTAGGCATACTACAAAGATAAGGTACTAACTACGTTCCAACAATCAGGCTCTCCTCGCACTGTACCGATTCCCTCATTACCCTTATCTTACATATGGAATTTGTGCATGGGGATCGAACACATCCCGGTCACCTAACCCCTTAATAACCCCGACAAAAGGCAGCAGTAAAATACCAAATTCCCACTCCGCCGCCAGCTTACCTCCACCATTTTTCAGTCTGAATCTGCTTACCATTAAGAACATCCATACGTATTTATGTCCTACTACATACACGAGAACAATACACACAAATATAAAACTCCCACTCAAACTTTTCCTCACCAACATAAACAGGACACATGAACCACAACCACGAAGACACAGATCTCTTTTGATATACCTCATGTCCATATCAGACACTGTGTAAAAACTCTATGCACATAAAGTGCTCCAAAATATGAGAATTCATTACCAGAAGATATTAAAGTAACCCAGTCTGAAAATCAATTTAGACTTCTCTCAAAAGCTACTTAATCACGCCTAGACTAAATGCTAAATACTCCGTATACATTTAACTCACCTATGTACTCCCACATCATAACTGAAAAACAATCCGCACTGAACCTTTTATCCATTGTTTGACGAGAATAATAATTGAATCATTGTTTTTATTTACAAAACCATTTTAGAATATAAATACGTATATCTTTGTATTATACAAATTTTGATTCATTTATAATTAATATTATACTGTACAACTATGAAATAATTACTTTCCTGCTGTACAACTATGATATACTACTTCTTAGTATTAAGTAGAATGTAAGCCAATAATGTTAAGTTGGCCCATAATGCCAAGGCATAATAGAGGCTCTCTTTGCATTGCAGTCTCGGCTGAGTGGTTGAGGGGAGTAGACGTGTGCTGGGGGGATCTGGACCTACTAATTTGCAGGCCTACCCATTTCTCTCGACTGATAAGCCATCATTAAAACTCATACTGTTGGAAGACAGCTTCAGTGTTGTGAGAACTCTTATGTGCGAGTTGTGACTAGGGATATACCTAGTGAAACTGGAAATAGTTTTCCGTTTTGAAAAGGCCCTCACAGGCCGTCTGCTCCCCTCAGCATTTTCATTTACTCAGCACTTTTGCCTCTATCAAACCCCATAGAGTAGAGGAGGAATTTTGCTAGTCCACTGCTACTCGTGCCTTCTGAAATGCGCACAACTCATCCCTTTTATACCAACGGGGAATAACACGAGTGGCAGTCCTACGTGAGGTTGGTAACGCGAGGTGTGCACACACTGAAAATTTGTCTTCATTTCCAAGACACGTGTGCTAGAAGCTCTGCAGTTTGGGATTGAAGAACTTTTTTTGTACGAGTATTGCAGAGTGTTTGTAACTCTTGAGAAGTCTGCCCCAGTCAGTGACCTTGAGCGAGGACTGCATTCACCTGCCGAGACTTTCGCCCATATTGACTAGTGAATGAGGAGGCAGAATGTGCATGCTCATTACCCCAGCTGTTCTCTTGTATCCCCCAACACTTCTCCGCCTTTAAACTCACCGTTTCGCGCGCTCTATCAACATGCAGTGTAAGAGGTGTATTTTGGGGGGGGGGGGGGGGGGGGGCGGGGGGCTTCCTCCACTGGTACTCAAATATTCGAGTTCCGCACATGCTATTCCACCACCTCTGCCTACCTGGAGATATACGGACAAAATCTCCCATGTCCTGTGTGAGTTGGTTATCCCAGACCTGAGGCCTGCCAGATGAATCAGACAGTGTCCAACTTGTACAAATGTGTTATATACTTCTAACTGAGGAAGATGACCTGTTATTCTTCTATGCACTGAGTTTTCTGGAGGAGCTGCATAGTTGGAACACAATAAGAGTGGTTTAAGAACAAATTAACGAGCATTGCAGTACCTGGTAACTCCTTTGGAGACGGCTTTTTAACTGTAACAAGCCAGAGGTTCATCTATAAACATAGTAAGTTTGTGCTGATTTGTTCATCCACAGTGTGAAAATTTGTCTGTCATTCCTAGACACGTGTGCTAGCTGTGTTAAGTGCTGCGGGTTTGGAGTAATTAACGAGTAGTGCAATACTGATAACTCTCGAGACGACTGTGGCCCCGTGAATGACCTTGAAAATCGCACTGTGACCCGCAAGCCACTACACCCATATTGCCTGTGTCTAGCGAGGTGAATATCCCTTCCTTGTCCCTTCTATTCACCGGTATCCTTTAGCCCATCACAAGTGTGAAACTCCTGTCAGCTATGAGTATAGCTGATGGTGTTGACGTAGATGATGGTGAAGACAGATTTGAAACATATTTTAGTAAACAGGCTCGGAAAAAAGAACGAAGCTTCCAGAGAAAACTTGCTGAAAGCAATACAGTGGGCGCACACCCTCCCAAAGCTGTCAGGTTAGATTTCCTTAACAACACTGATCAAGAGACCAAGTGTAACTGGTTTTTCAAAGCTAGTGTAAACAATGATGAGAAAATGATCAAGTTTGTCCACAATGAGGATAACTACGTCTTTGTGCCTAATGATTCAGCATTTATAGACAAACTTCTCACTCGCGAAAATGCCAACATCAAACTCACCGAGCGTGCCCACGCAATAAAGGTCACCTAAAAGTGCTTATTGTCATCTACAATGTCAACAAGCACTTGCATCCTCAATATTTGGCGTCAGAAGCAAGTTGCAACCCTTGTCGACTTTCTCAACGGTCTGAATTAGCTGTGTGGACTGGCCAGGGACACTGGCACGCTATCTCACTCCCGTGCAGCCCTCAACAGACGCTCATAACATTGCATTGTACAGACCTCTCTCAACAAGTCGATGTATAAAGTGTCAATCACTGGCGCCACATTGCCAGGAAAAATGCCCATTTAAGTCACACTGGTGTGCAGTGTGTTGCCAATGCTGGCTCATCCCTGC